GGCTCTGCTGGGGAAGGAGCTCCGGGCGGCGGGGATATTTTTAGTGCCGAGACACAGGGGATTTGGAGATCGCTCGGAGGAGCGCAGGCGATGAAACCGCGGCACAGACAGGGGTTACAAGGTGCCATGTCCTCCCTCTCTACTTCCCCTCCCCTCTGCTTTTCCCAGCCCACAGCTCTGCCAAAACCGCTGCCTCCTCGCACTCGCCTGGTGCATTTCCTCTCACCGGGGCAACGGTTATTTTTTGCTGTGCTGCAACACGAGGTCAGACGTGCCAGTCGAGAAAAGATGCAGGGAATTAATGCTCAGGCAGCCAGTGGGTCCCAGCATCTCATCTCCCCATGGCCTGACCCTGCATGATTCTCTGGGGCATTCCCACCTCTCCGTGCTGGCTGCTTCTCCCAATGCTAAAGGAACCGAAAGCTCTTGGGATTTACCCGTGTCCCAGTGGTTTTGTTGGGGCAGGGTGACAGGGAAAGGCTGGCAATCTCTGCAGGGTCTCCTGGAAGATGCTGTGGCAGCAGAGGAGCTGGATCTCCCCCCCACCCGATCTCCTCGCAGCACTGCCTGCAGGGACTGGGAGCACAGGGCACAGTCCAGCCAGCCAGGCAGCGGTGGGGTGCCCCGGGCCCCTCAGGTCAGGGGATCAGCTCTGGGAAAGTGCAGGGACAAGGGCAAAAGCTGGCTGGGCCAGCCTGCCCCAGGTCTTTCATTCTCCAGGGAACTGACCCATGGCTTGGAGTGACACCTTGCTTAAACTCTGCTCACCTCCCCATCACCCCTTGTCCCTTTCCACAGCTCAGGTTATTTTTCAGGACCTTCCTTAAATCCCCTGAAATCTCTGCAAAGTATTGCAGAGCCATGGCCTCAAGAAAAGGCCATCCCCATCTTCTCTTGGCCTTGTTCCTCCACCAACAACCCTTCTGCCACCCCCAAATACACCCTTCCCATTCACCAGCGGAGAAGGGGGTTGTGCTGGGGTCTCCCAGGCCAAGGAGGAATGAAAAACGCCTCAGGGGCCAGCAATCCTCACCCACAGCCCACCCTGTGGGCAGCTGCCCAGGAGTGGGCAAGAAGAAGATCCCTGCCTGCACCTCCTGGGTGGGACCCTGCCCTGCCCAGCCCGCCCAAACTCTGCACCAGCGTTTGGCCCCAGTTCCTCTCCGAGCTGCACTGGCTAATAAGCCGTGAGAGCCGGAAGGATTTGAAGGCAGCGGGGCGTTTGGTGCCGTCGCAACCACGCTCAGCCAGCGGGGAAGAGCCTGGCTCTGAATGCAGATAAGCCTCCAGCCCCTTGGCTGAGTGGGCTGTAGTAATAACCATGACAATAGTAATAAAAGCCAGGCCACCAGCAGGTACCGACAGATCCCCCACGGTGCACAGGGGCCGCATTGTGTGTGCAAACGTGTCCCGCGGTGGGAACATGCCAGCTGGATGAGACAATCCCGGCGACTGACAGCCATGGAGTGTGACTGGCCGTCACATGGGGAAGGGCCGCGGCAGGGAACACCGCTCTCCTTTATTTCCCCAGTGAGGGTTGCTGAGGAGCTGCTACACTATAGCGGGGCTGTTCGCTCCCCCCCCAGGCCCGGAAGAGGCCTGGGAGGGGGACAAAGCTCTGTCCCTGACTCTCACCACGGTCACGGGTCAGGCAGGGCTGAGCACAGCCCAGCTGCTGTCTCCTGCTGCTGGAGTTCCTTACATAATGGGATCTCAGTCCTCGTGCCCAACTCCCCAGCAAGAGCTCGAAAACAAGTTCATAAACAGGTCCTGCTAATTTCTCCCGCAAGAGAAATCCCAGCGCCCACAGGAATGCTGCCACCAGCACTCGTCCTGACTCTGCCCAAGCACCCTTACCCTGAGTATCGGTCATGTGCCAGGGAGAAATGAGCACTGAGAACATTAATGGAATGGACCAGCCATGCTCATGGCACTCAGGACAGCTCTCGCAAGCATTTTGGTTTATTTTGTCTTTGCACTGCAGGAGGATTTAGAGACCTTCTTACCTTCTTACCTCCACACTGGGCAAGATGCTGCACAGAGGGCTGGTCTGTCACCCTACATCTGGGAGCCAGTGCAAGCTCTGAGCCCAACCTCTCTGCGGATGGAGCCCAATGGGCTCTCTTCGGTGTGGTGAACCACAGTGGTTGGCCATGGATTCAGCACAGCTGGGCTGGGGGCAGAGCTCTGGGACAGACAGGACAGGGCTGGTTCCAGCTACTGAAGGGAGCCAGTTCCATCATCAGTGCCCCCTCCTCATCCCCAGCTCCCTTCTCTTTTGCAGACAGCACAGGGGAGGTGGGAGGTTTTTGCCTTACCCCAGCAGCCACTGGGCTGCAGCCACCGGTCAGTCTTGCGAGGAAACCTTCTCCAGCATGGTGTGTCCACCACTGCGGCTGTGAGCCCGGGTGCAAGGAAACCTTCTCCAGCATGGTGTGTCCACCACTGCGGCTGTGAGCCCGGGCACTGTGCAGCACGCCGAGCCTCTGCACCAGAGCAGGCACCCAGTGCTTAGGTCAGACATACCAAGGCAAAAGCCCCTTCAGGCAGCTGGGATCACTGCCCTGGGCATCGCAGGAAGACGCTGAGCAGCCAGAAGAGGACCAGAGCCTCTTCCAGAAAGCGCATGGTGACTGGCCCTGAGTCACGCTGCATCTCCACGCTGTGCTGCAGGCACAGCCCGGCCTCCTGGGGCAGGCACCTGCAGACAGTGGGGTTTAGCTGAAGGATGCCCCAGAAACGCGGTGCAGAGGAGCCCTGGAAGGGCTCTTAGGAAGATGTGACATTGATCTCCAGGACATCTCAGCAGGCCCACCACCCCTCTCCCATTTGGGTCCTATGCCGCTGTGTATTGCTGACAGCCAGCCCCACGGCTGCCCTTGCCCCCACTCCTGCCAGACAGGGTGGGGATGCTGCCTGCTCTGTTCCCTCCTCCCCAGCCCGGAGGAGCGGAGGGTTTGGCCTGTGCACAGGCAGAGCAGAGGATGTTTGTTTGGTTTCCTTGGTTACTGCACTGCCTGCTCCAGTAATCACATTTTCCTTTTGCCGGCTGGGCCAAGAGCAGCAGAAAGGAAATCTGGAATGGCTGAGGTCAAACACCAGCCAGGGC